GAATTACATTTTCATCATCAAACATCAACAGAGCACACTCAGAAATAAAAGTACGTGAGCTGTCATGGAGATGGTACCTATTCAAAAGGTACAAATTTGTACCTAAAAGGTCCTTATTAATACCTCAAGGGTACATAATAGTACCTAAATAATACTAAAGTGTTCCTCTTAAAATTTTTAGGTACTAATATATACTTTTGAGGTACCAATATGGACCTTTTAGGTAAAAATGTGTACCTTTCGAAGAGGTACCACCCTAGTGACAGCTTGCGTACCTTTATTTCTGAGTGCAGAGGTCAACATCCTAAAATGGAACTCACAAATATATTGTTATATTAAATATAATTAAATATTACATATATTATATATATATATGTGGGTTTCCTGTGAGTGCTCTGGTTTACCCCACAAGTCAAAAAAACATGTGCTATAGTTGAATTGGGTAAGCTTAATTGTGTGTGGTGTATGTGTGTGAATAAGTGTGTGTTTCCCAGTGGTGGGTTGCAGCTAGAAGAGCATCCACTGCGTAAAACATATGCTGGATAAGTTGGCGGTTAGGCAGCACCCTGGCGCGGTGGGTAGCACAATCACCTAACAGCAAGAAGGTCGCTGGTTCGAGCCCCAACTGGGTCAGTTGGCATTTTTGTGTTGAGTTTGCATGTTCTCCCCGTGTTGGCGTGGGTCTCCTCCAGGTGCTCCGGTTTCCCCCACAGTCCAAACATATGCACTATAGGGGAATGGGTAAGCTAAATTGTCCGTAGTGTATGTGTGGAAATGAGTGTGTATGGATGTTTCCCAGTGATGGGTTGCGGCTGGAAGGGCATCCGCTGCGTTAAACATATGCTGGGTAAGTTGGCGGTTCATTCCACTGTGGCGACCCCAGATTAGTAAAGAGATTAAGCCGAAAAGAAAATGAATGAATGAATAAAATATATGTGAGATGAGAAATAAATCATTTGAATATTTTATTAGATCATTATCTGATATTGATGAGAATTGTCAGTATATACTAGTAACATTCATGCCTTGAATTCATTTAGCTTTGGATGTGTGTCACATTTATGCCAAATGCATTAATATACATATAGTTCATGCATGTGATGTTGTGAGGAGCAAAGCTTCTAGACTGAAGTCTGTCTGCTGCTGCTCTTTCTCTTCTGATATATTGTTTATAGGGAAGGAAAAGTTCATTTTCATGCATTTGAGCAGAAGTTTTCTGAAGTTTTTTTAAAGCTGTTTTTTTTTTTTATCTCTTTTTGTCTGAACAAAAGTTCTTCATCAACATCTTTTGAAAAAGCCTTGGCCTTAAGATGCTCCTCATCCTGTTTAACGTGTCTTTTTCTCCGGTTTGGAGTCATTAAGGACACTCTCAGCACGTTCAGCAGCTGATTTAAATAATTGGTGTGATTTTCTTAAAATAACGGTGGAAGGAGAACTTATGTTAATAGCAAATTAAAGATGTGGATGTTGTAGATAGAAGCGCTCTGAAGCTTTCCAGCCATCTTCTAACATCCGCTGCTAATTATTCTTTAAAGCAGAAGTCGTCAATTGACTTGAAAGAGAAAACTGTTTTTCTTTCCCTTTTTATTATTTCTGCAGGAACAAAGAGTTAGAGATTACAATCTGAATCTCAAATGTTTCTCCATAGCAGCGGGCCGATGAAATGTTGAAAAAATACACTCAAAAATATCTCAAGCCGAGCTCAGCTGTGCTAGATGAATTCAAACGTTTCTAAATGGATTATTTTAACACAGTGTAAAACCCAACAGTCAACTTTAATTCAATCCAATTCAGCTTTATTTGTATAGCGCTTTTACAACGTAGATTGTGTCAAAGCAGCTTCACATAAATGGTCATAGTGGTCATAAATGGTCATAAATGGTCACTTTATCAAATGAAATGAGTGGAGTTACCTCAAAATATACTGAAAGTTAATTCTACTCATTTAATAAGAGTTTTAAACTCAGTGTTAAAGGTAATTAGTTAATTAAATGCCTCATTACATCAAGTTAAATGGAGTAAGTTCACAGTACTCATTAGGATTATTTTATGAACTTAAATTAAATTAAAATAATAAAATAAAATAAAATAAAATAAAATAAAATAAAATTTAATTTAATTTAATTTAATTTAATTTAATTTAATTTAATTTAATTTAATTTAATTTAATTTAATTTAATTTAATTTAATTAATGGTTTGTTGCAATCGGTTTCCTCAAATGGTTTGAGTTACCTTAACTTATTGGGTTTTAGAGTGGAGCTATCATTCATTTGAGCCAGGGCTCTCAGTACTGTATCAGTTATTTCGGTCAAGGGTTTCAGTTCTTTAGGGTGGAGCTATCAGTTCTTTACGGCAGAGCTATTAGTCCTTTCGGCCAGAGCTATCTGTCTTTTGTGCTGGGGCTATCAGTCCTTTGAGGCGGGGCTATTAGTTCTTTAGGGTGGGGCTATCAGGTAAGGTACGACATGCTTTTATTCATATGGTGCTGCTTTTAAAGGGACAGTTCACCCAAAACTGAAAGTTCTGCTCACCATTTACTTGTTTAAAACCCTTATGAGTTTCTTTTCTTTTATTTCTTTATACTTTATTTTAGATTACTTAGATTTGACATATTCTTTGTATTTTCCTTCCTTTAACAGCAACAATATAGGGTAAACATGGGGAGCTACAAGACATTTAAAAATTACCTTTCAAATAAATAAATAAATAAATAAATAAATAAATAAATAAATAAATGATTAAATTAAATTAAATTAATGGTTTGTTGCAATTGGTTTCCTCAAACGGTTTGAGTTGCCTTAACTTATTGGGTTTTACAGTGCATCAAATGAGCTGGGCTTCACTTCCCAAAAACATTGTGAGCTTAAGCATCGTAAAAACAATTGTGGGACTGATCTTAATGCTTTAATCTCTTTCCCAAAATCATCATAACTTAAGTCGAAAATCTAGAAAATCATCGTAGATAATTGTTAAATTAAATAATTGTCGCCATGAAGATAAAATTAGATTTTCTTTCTTGTATATGTGATAAATGATGTATCTGTGCGCTTTATTATTGTGTAATAAATGTATTCATCCTCATTATAACCTTCCCTGCACACTCACAACTACTTTACACTTCTGGTCACATGGAATGCCTTTAGAGTGAAGCTATCAGTCATTTGAGCCAGGGCTCTCAGTACTTTAGGGCGGGGCTATCAGTTATTTCAGTCAGGGGTTTCAGTTCTTTAGGGTGGAGCTATCAGTCATTTAGGGTGGAGCTATCAGCTCTTTGGGGCGGAGCTATCAGTTCTTTTGGGCAGAGCTATCTGTCTTTTGTGCTGGGGCTATCAGTCCTTTGTGGCGGGGCTATTAGTTCTTTAGGGTGGGGCTATCAGTCGTTTGGGGTCTTTCCATTAGTCATTTAGGGTGGAGCTATCAGTCCTTTAGGACCGAATGATCAGTCAATTAGTGCGGAGCTATCAGCTCTTTAGGGCGGGGCTATCACTTCTTTAGGGTGGAGCTATCAGTCCTTTGGGGCGGGGCTATTTGTTATTTAGGGTGGGGCTATCAGTCATTTAGGGTGGAGCTATCAGCTCTTTGGGGCGGAGCTATCAGTTCTTTAGGGCAGAGCTATTAGTCCTTTGGGCCAGAGCTATCTGTCTTTTGTGCTGGAGCTATCAGTCCTTTGGGGCGGGGCTATCAGTCCTTTAGGGTGGGGCTATCAGTTTTTTACAGTGGAGCTATCAGTCCTTTAGGCTGGGGCTCAGTCATTTGGGGCGGGGCTATCATTTCTTTACGGTGGAACTATCAGTCCTTTGGGGCGGGGCTATCAGTCCTTTGGGGCGGGGCTATTAGTCCTTTGGGGCGGGGCTATCAGTCCTTTGGGTCGGGGCTATCAGTTATTTGTGCCGGGGCTATCAGTCCTTTGTGGCAAGGCTATCAGTCCTTTAGGGCGGGCTATTAGTTTTTTATAGTGGAGCTATCAGTCCTTTGGGCCGGGGCTATCAGTTATTTGGGGTGGGGCTATCAGTCATTTAGGGCGGGGCTGTCAGTTCTTTATAGTGGCGCTATCAGTCCTTTGTGGCAGATTATCATTCATTTTGGGGCGGGGCTACAACTCTTGACGTCGGGCTAGAAATCATTTTGGGTTGGGCTATCAGTGCTTTAGGGTGGAGCAATAACTATATATATATATATA